GGGAGCCGGGACGCGGCTCGCAAGGACTAGGCCATCCTGGGAGGGGGTTTTCCAAGTCAGTAGAAGTGTTTTCGGCTCTGCTCCTGCCACTTGTTGTAGACGATGACTCCAATGACGATGGCGAAAACGATGGCAACGAGGGAGAAGAAGACAATTAAGAAGAGAGCCAGGCCGCTCATGGGCTCCAGCGGGGCCTCCACTGCGTGGCAGAGGGAGAACGACAGCCCGTGAGCCCCCGGCACCCCAAAATTCAGCCAAGATCTGCCTGTGCCAGGGGGGTTTAGCCCCACGTGCACCCTGCCAGGCTCACACCGCCCCAGGGTTTGGCTTCCCCACGCTGTGGGGCCCGGCTCATCGCAAGGGCTACAGCCCCGAGAGCTCAGGGCACAGCAGGGGCTCATGGACGTGTCTGCGGTGGGATTTCTGGAAGGGAGATGACACCCTCGAGGCTCAAACCTCCACGGGCTTCCAGCGCACGCGTGGCATGACCGAAGGGGAGCGGACAGGCGCAGCCCGCGACGCCCACACCAAACGGAGACGGGCTGCGAGGCCGGTTGTGTCGCACAGCGGCGAGAACAACCCTCGGTGGGAGGAACGGGGCACGGACATCCCCAGTCCGGCTCGGTGGTGAGACGATGTGGTTTCTGCTCCGCAAACATCACAGCCCTGGGGGTCCCCTCAAATCCCTGGGGGTCCCCCCAAATCCCTGGGGGTCCCACCTTGCCCTGTGTGAGGCCAATGGCTCCTACTCACATCCCGGCAGCTTCAGGTTGTCCACCACTGGCAGATACACCTCTCTGTCGTGCTTCTCCTCCTCCGGCGTCCGCTCCACCGTCAGCTGGAAAAGCTTCAGCGAAATGATGTCGTGGTTGTCTGGAAGCGGAGCAGAAACGTGTCCCGAGGCGTCGCCGACGGATATGGCTCTGGCCCGGGGATTCGAGTGCCGCAGGGTGTTATCACCGGGGGCAAAGGCGCCGGCTCTCCCTTCCCAAGGGGGGAAAACTCACCTCCGCAGGGCAGGGTCTGCCCCGGGCCGGGAGCTGCGTCCCAGCGCAGGGCCCTCGGCCAACGGGAGCCTTTAAGCTACTCAAACTGAAAAACGACAGCCCAGAGCGGGAGCTCGTCGGACTCGAAACCGCTCGGCCACCCGAAGGGAACGTGTTAGCATCGGCCTCACGTGGCCCTACTTCCTTTGCTCCACGGAGTTGTTAGTGGGACAAGGCGAGCGCTCCACGCCAGCCTGCCAGCTCCCCAGGCAGAGATCTGAGAGAGAAAAGGAACTTTTGTTGGAGCCAACAACGGGCCCAGACACCGGCCGTCAATCTGCTTTTGTAGAGGCATCACTCAAAATCGGGCTTAAAACCTGCCCAAAGAGGCGCAGCGGGGTGACGTCAGGCCTCGCGGCACCTCGACCAGCGCCGGCAGAGAAGTGCTACGCCGAGGAAGGCAGCAGGCTTTAGCTTTAGCTCTCTGCAAAACCCAGTTTACACCAGCCCACACTGCACCACCGCTTCCAGGCGCGCCCAGCTGGTCCCTCCCTCAGCAACGGGCAGGCGATAGCTCTCAGGCTAGGAAATCCAAAGCAAAATCCATGTCCCAGAGACGGAGTCAGAGAGCAGGAGCGAGCACTGCAGCTGGGCTGTAACGCCCGGGGCGCCCGCAGCGATGGCAGCTCTCTCCAGCGCTGCCCTCGGGGTGGGAGAGTAGAGATTTCTTTTTTCAGCCCTCACCCTGTTTTTACGGCTCCCAAGGCACGTGTTTTGGCGCCCGCCCCTCCGGCTGA